GTGTGTGTGTGTGTGAGTATGTGTGTGAGTGTGTGTGTGAGTGTGTGTGTGAGAGAGAGTGTGTGTGTGTGAGTGTGTGTGTGTGTGAGAGAGAGAGATGGGGAGACGGTGCTAATGCATCTTTTTCCCTTTGGACAGGGGAGAAACCCTTTGAGTGTAAACTGTGTCACCAGCGATCCCGTGACTATTCCGCCATGATCAAGCACCTTCGGACTCATAACGGTGCCTTACCGTATCGGTGCACAATCTGCCAGGAATTCTGCCCCAGCCTGTCTGCTATGCAGAAGCATATCAAGACCCACCTTCCTGAAGAAGTGCCCCCGAACTGGACCTTGGAGGAGAGCTACCTCTACCTGTGCTACCTGTGACTACCTGACTGTCGCACTCGCCCCTGGAGACATAGGCTCTGTGATCGGAATCCCATCCCCACACCGCTCCCTCTGTGCCGGGTGGTGTTGGCGTTGGGTTGTGGAGGGGGGGGGGGTTGCTCTAGGGTTTGTGGTGGGGAGCTGATGGACAGGTTCTCTGCCATCGGAAATTGAGGGACGGGGAGGTGCGGCAGTCCCTCTGAGTAGTGGAAGCAGGAGGGCCCAGGGGGAATTGGAATTGGAAACTTGATCCTGTGGGATTCCTGCAGCATCAGTGAAGGAGTTGGTCGGAGCAGAGAGGCACGCAGACTCCTCTCACCCTCATCTGGACCCAACACAAGAATGGCAATTTTCCAAGAAAACCACAATTTCTACTGCCAGAGGAGTTCGGCGTTGATTGGTCAAGGCATTGGCCCGGGGCAGAGTGCAGAAGCAGGCCATTCGGCCCATCGAGTTCACACTGACCCTCTGAAGAGCATCTCACTCAGACCCTATCCTTGGAATGCTACATCTCCCATGGCTGATCCACCCAGCCTGCACCTCCTTGGACACTGGGACAATTTGGCATGGCCGATCCACTCTAACCTGCATATCTTTGGACTGTGGGAGAACGCAGATCCCCGTGCCTGAGGGCATATAGCTGTGAGCAGGTTTTAAAGGAACTGCATACCTGGCTGAGAATCTCGTGTCTATTGTTAACGTAAGCACTTGGGGTTGTTTGGGGAACGCCGTCCAACGTCCGAGTCACGTTGAACGTGAGTTATTTGACCGATCGCGAGTCAGTTTGCCAACCAACTGCACCCTCCCACCACGTGTTGTTGCAAACTGTTGTCCCCTCGGAGATTTGGCATTCTTGCGATGGTGTCCAGGTCAACACAAACCCTTTTGACTGGGCGGCTCAGCCACACTCGATTTCCACACGGCTCGCGTCTCTCTGAGGAGGGTCTTCCGTTAGATCTCTCACAGAATGAACTGCAGCAACCCTACACCACCCCCCGCCCCCACCCTTTCCCCATGCAGCCCCCCTTCCCCGTCTCCATTGAGATTGGGAACCCCGTTTGGGAGAGAATGGAAATCCAGGCCAATACGTGGGACTGGTGAAACTCTCCCACTCCCGTCCCCTCCTGTGGCCGTGGGAAGCCCAGACCTCATCAGCTCTCCACTGGCCATCAACAGAACTCAGAACATGACTCATTTCAATTCTCTGGAAGCGATAGTCGACGTTATACACATTCCACAAACAAAAGGGACACGGTCAAGCCTTTGCTGAGCTTCCCAGGAGATGGAGGGAGACCGTCACTCCCCTTTTCTTCCTCCATGGTGATTTGTTAGGCCCCTGTTGCCGTCAGCTCGGCCTCCCCTGCCCCCACTTCTCTCCGTGGTGTAAATTGGTGTTCCCTTCAGAAAACAGGTTTCTTGCTGTTGTCCTGATGAGAGCAAGGCGGTGAGCTTTGATGTCATCTCTCCCTCTCTGGCGGTAGCCTTTCAAATCCTCAACACTGCCTTCGATGCCCGTGCAAACCTTCACAAGTTTCAAAATCTCCCCTCCCCCCACCGCATCCCAAAACCAGTCCACTCGTCCCTGCCTCCCTAACCTGTTCTTCCTCCCACCTATCCCCTCCTCCCACCTCAAGCCGCACCTCCATCTCCTACCGACCAACCTCATCCCGCCCCCTTGACCTGTCCATCCTCCCTGGACTGACCTATCCCCTTCCTAACTCCCTACCTACACTCACCTTTCCTGGCCCCATCCCCGCCTCTTCGACCTGTTTGTTTCCTCTCCACCTATCCTCTCCTCTATCCCTCTTCTATCCGCCTCCCACTCTCTCCCTATTTATTTCAAAACCCCCTTCCCCTCCCCCTTTTCTGATGAAGGGTCTAGGCCCGAAACGTCAGCCTCTCTGCTCCTGTGATGCTGCTTGGCCTGCTGTGTTCATCCAGCCCTGCACCTTGTTGTCGCAGAGGGAACCTATTCAGCCCCTCTCTCCTGCTCCATTATTCAACTGCACATTCTCATCTCCCCACCACCAAATCACCTCGGACCTCCCTCTCCAACCAAGAATTGACCTACCTCCTCCGTGAAAATATTTGTCGCTGTATAACCTGTCCTGGATACACATTGGAGGCCATTCAATCGATTCCTGATCTAGCACTTGGAATCAGTTATTGATCCCTTCCCCTGGCACGTGGCTCTATCAATCAGCAAACTCCTGGTCTTTACCACGCTTCTCGTTTTGGTGGGAGGGCAACAGTGATAACAATAAAAATCTCTGACCATCTTCCTGCTTGTCGGTGCCCTGTCTGACCACAGCAATCTCCATCATTACAGGTCTACATCCCGTCATTCCTTCAATCCCATTTTCCCTCGATCTCTCCCACATTCTGCAAATGTCCCACCTTCAGTGGAGTCCAGCCAGAGATCTCAGTGAGTGAAGTTAGAGATACCACTCACACACACACACTCACAGAGACACGCACTCTCACACAAACTCACAGAGACACGCACTCACACACACACTCACAGAGACACGCACTCTCACACAAACTCACAGAGACACGCACTCACACACACACTCACAGAGACACGCACTCTCACACAAACACACTCACAGAGACATGCACTCACACACACGCGCTCACACACACACTCACAGAGACACGCTCACACACACACACTCAGAGACATGCACTCACACACACACACACTCACAGAGACATGCACTCACACACGCGCGCTCACACACACACTCACAGAGACACGCTCACACACACACACTCAGAGACACGCACTCACACACACACACACACTCACAGAGACACGCACTCACACACAAACTCAGAGACACGCACTCACACACACACTCACAGAGACACGCACTCTCACACAAACACACTCACAGAGACATGCAACCGCACACACACTCAGAGACACGCACTCACACACACACACTCACAGAGACACGCACTCACACACAAACTCACAGAGACACGCACTCACACACACACTCACAGAGACACGCACTCTCACACAAACACACTCACAGAGACATGCACTCACACACACACGCTCACACACA